TGACACGGAGAGCTGATCAGTTTTTCGATGGTCTCGCCGTTTAGCCTGTTACAATGCATAGATGTAATTTATACTTATATATCATTTTTGTACTTCCGCACGCTATTTATTTAAGAAACCACTCAGTATTTCTTACATCGTGTACCGTTTTTATTTCTTAATTATGACAATAACTGTGAAAACTATATCAGATACCTATGGCGGAAGTGGAGGGTCTAGTATCAATGATTTTAAATTAATTCTCCATCAAATATCTAATGATGAAAATATTAAAAATATTAATGTGAAAAGAATAAGAGTTCAAACGAATTTTGTTAGTGGCTATTTGATTAGTCTTCAATTTATTTATAATGTGGAGACAAATAATGAAGAAAGAACAGTTAACGGTGCTATACGCGGCACAAATACTGGTATACTACAAATTTATGATCTTAATAGTGATGAACAAATGGAGGAGATAGTCGGTACATATGGCAAAAATTCTATGGATACAAATATAGTTATAAAATACTTGGAGTTCCGGACATCAGTAGGAACAAAAATTTATGGTAAAAATGACACCGCAGATATTTTATTCACTTTGCCGGCTGGTGTTCTTTTTGGTAATAGTGCCAATTCTGTAGATTCTCTTGGAACATATGTAGTTATAGAAGTTCCAACAAATTCATCATCAAACGTTACAACGACCATTACTACTTTAGCATCGACAACTTCAACTTTGTCATTGAGTATTATACCAACTTAATTTATGATTCTTTCCTGCTTTACTGGTATTCTAGGATTTATTGTTTTAGTAATTATTGTAATTTTTCTGCGGAGGAAATTTTGCCGTGGGTATATTCCCACATCCTAGTTCTTGTTTTGTTTTTTTATTTAAAAATTGGTTCATTTTCTTTGGTTAAACTCTATAATTCAGAATACATAATAATATACAATAAAAATGATAAATTTATATAAATTTTACTCTTTTTTGCCAATAGAAAAGCCAAGGCACCATGTTCAAACTAGCTCAGATAAACGAAACTCTAACTCATGTATTCAGGATGAACTATCTGAATGCATAATACACCCACAGGTTATGATATATCATCATTCAGGTATGACACTTCCATGTGTAAAATATGCCACCTTTGTTTGTGTATTGCAAAATTCACGTCACTCGAGCATGGGCTACAAAAAAATCGTGACATCCTCGAGTGTGGCTTAAAAAATGGATCGCAACACCCTCGAGTGTGGCCTAAAAAATGAATCGCGACACCCTCGAGTGTGGCCTAAAAAATGAATCGTGACACCCTCGAGTGTGTCCTAAAAAATGAATCGCGACACCCTCGAGTGTGGCCTAAAAAATGAATCACAACACACACCTGAGTAGTAATAACCTAAACTAAGTGGGAATAACATAATTATGTTAGTCCCACTATTTGAATAAATAATTTATATGAGGTCTATATACCTTGGAGATATAATGTGTTTTCTTACAAGAATCATAAAATTGAGCTATTTGTCTAAAGGAAATATGATGTGCTAATAATAAAGAATTTATTTACAATAAGAGTGATTTTGGTAAGATAACTTTTATATAATGAAATAGGAAATTAAAGTTAAAATAATAAGTATTTTTTAAATATTACAAAATATAAAAATTTAAGTTATTAACAAATTAAAGTTACAATTATTTTCTAAGAAATAATCTTTATTGCTAATCAAAAAATGAATTATATGATACTACAGTATTATAAATAGAATATATAACTTGTAAATTATCCCAAAACTTGATAAAAAAAAACAATATCAATTATAAAAAAATAAAAAGAAGACAAATAAAAAGACATATTATATAAATTATTAATAGAATCCATTATTAACATTCAATATTTTTTGCAAGTATTTAAAATATTGAAAATAAAAAATAAAGAAAAAAATGATACAAAAAATTAAGTTATATTAGAAGTCTCTTTCTATAGTAATGAATAGGGATCGCAACAAATCGAATTGAATCAGATTTTAGGTTAATCTGATCTGAATCCAATCAGATCAGTTTTTATTTGATCTGATCTATATCTGAATGGATTTATTTTTATATAATCTGTATCCATTCAATAAATTTGATATTTTTTTAATTGTATTTTTTTTTTATTCATTTTTCCCTATCTATATTTACTTGACATCTTTAAGTTTTATATATAAACATTTATTTAATAATTTATATTTTTAATATTTATAATTTATTGCCATTCATGATCATTTTCTTCTAAATTAAAATATACATCTG